CTGGCTAAAATTTATTTCAGTGTAGGGAATGGATTCAACTTCATTTTTTTTCCATAAAGCTATCCACTCCCAAATCCATTCACTGTGTAAGTCTACTTTTCCTCAGTGATCTGAAATGTTACCTTTATCATATACTAACTTTCTTTATACACTTGGGTTTACTTATGGGTCTAGTAACCTGTTCGGCTCATCTCTCTGTTTATTCATATGCCAGGACGATGTTTTATTATTGAAGTTTATGCCCTCCTCTGATAGCTCTTCTCTTCTAGCAACTGTCTTCTGAAATCATGACTAAATGCAAAAATTCTGAACCTCCAAATAACTATAGAATAACAAGATATATAGTTGATTTCTTGGGACAGGTTTTAAACATTTAAATATAAGAAGGTTCAATATTCTATAAATAAGAAAATCGTAAGTACTCATGAACATAACAAGAAGTATCACGTTGTGTCCAATTGACTGGTAGTAAGGTCTTCTTTTCACTTAAGAAAACTATAATTTAGTTAATTACAGGAGATACAATCAGAGAATACAAGTTAATAGTTTCTGCATCACATTCAGTGGTCACTGGTTTCTACCCACTGGCTTTAAGAACAACTGTTTATATCTAATATTCAACAAAATATTTTGCATCAAAATACTTATCTTACTTGTAACAAAAGCAGCTGGAGAAGATGATCATAGCAATTATGCAGACAGCCATAGAAACGAGCAAAGCCAGCCATCGAATGCTGCCATCAAAAAATGGACCTGACAATGGAAATAGTAAAGTGAACACATTACCTTTCTATCACATCATAAAAGGAAAAAATAAGTTTGCAGTGTTAAAGTCTAGAAAGCTTGCTTACTGTTAAAACCAGAGGAAATATTTCCCTGAGAATCATGATCGCACTTTTCTCGGCTAACCTACCTATAACAACAGGGGGCAGTGTAGGCTGCAAATACTGGTTACATAAGTTGGTCCGACAACATTCTATTGTCCGGCGTAGCTGGGCTTTTGGTGAATCCTAGAGGAAGAGTAATGATAAAATTAGAAATGATTTGATATGCTAAACTGATAATTAATTTTTACAATATTCATAAGATAAAATCTCTAATTCAGTGAGTGAAAATGACCTACAAATTTTATGTGTGAAAAAAATTATTGAAAAATTTGAATCTGTGGTGAAACAATGAAGACTCCAAAATATTTTTTCTCAAGGAGAATGTATGTATGTGGTTGGTATGTTAGATCACTATACTATAACTTAACGACAGATAAACAAAAGTTTATTAAGTATTTTTTATCAAAACTTTGGCATATCTTAAGGTATTACTATTCATCTGTTTTTAGTAAAAAAGTAATTAAAGTCATGAGATCTTTTCCTAAAAAATATGGGTATTGCATTTTATTAAAAAGATATAAAGTAGTGGGGTAAGTATGATCTCATAGTAGTACCAAGAATTAGATGAATGAGATTTAAGATCAGACTAAAAAGTCGAGGCTACCCTAGGCCAAAGAAATGACAAGTTAGAAAAAGGTAGTCAGGTAGGCTGAAGACAGTGTTGAGTCTACATATAACTCTGCTGAAACTAATGAACCCAGTAAGGAAGCAAGTCAAAGCGTATGTGCTGAGGGTAAGGGCAAAATATAGAAACAGTATTCCTGAGAGTTTTAGAGACCACCAACCAGGTATGTGTCCCTAACAGACCAGAAAATGAGCACAGGGAAAGACTGCAGTCATGGGAACTGACATCAACAATTATAGGTGAAGTTTTATTTGATTAAAAGTACAGTACTTGAGAGATTCTTAACTTGAGTGCTGACATTTCAGTACTGCCTGGGAGAAGTGCCATTCTAGGTCAAATTAGTAATGCAAAGAAATTGTCATTATAAAAGTAGGAAGAATATAAGCAGAATTCGACCACGTTATTCTTAAATATCAGAAAGGAGAAACCTGGGTATAATCACGTATTACTTAAAAAGGTGCCTATGAAAGTCCATAAGGGAATCTATATGGGATTCGAGATCCTGTAAGAGAAGATAGGTCAAGAGTATTTAGAAACCTCCAAAAGCAGAAGTTTACATTTTAACTGAATTTTAAACTTTTTAACAGTTTCTATCTTTAAATGATCATAAAAAGAAAAAGAGAGACATCTGAGGAGTTACACAGGTGATTCTGAAAAAAATGACAGATCTAGAGAAAACTTACATGAAGGATGGAATGAAGAGTATATAATTCAAGATGAATGAAAGAAGCATGAAGCATCCAAAAATAGTTCTAGGAAGGCTAAAGTTCAAAATGAGCTTAGCCTTGTAGAGGAGGAAATATAAAGAAATATCAAGAAAGGGTTTTTGGCAGTGCTAGAAGACCACCAAGCCATGGATGCAGTATTGCTGACAAAACAGTATGTGATGGAGGACAAGGAAAACGTACACTTCCTTAACTCCCATTTTGTTTCCGTCTTCTCTAGCGAGGATGGGAACAGGAATGAAGGCAAGGCAGATCAAACACCAGTACGTGAGACTGACATCCCAGAAGTATCCTACAATGTTTCTGTGTCCTGTCTGAGTTCATAACTTCTAAGCTAGGTGAATTATATCACAGGAAGATGAGAGCACCTTGGAGAGGGCTGAAAGACAGGTATGATTCCAAGATTTTACAAATAAGGAGTGCTGGAAACTAGACAGCTAAACGTTATGTTACCTTTAAAGGGGAAAGAAAGACTGCCAACAACAGATTGGGGGCAGCACAGTATTACGGAAATAGCAAGGGCTCTGGAATCAAATAGCTTAAATCCTAGCTTTGGCATTTATTAACTCTGTGACCCTGAGCAATGAACTTACTTTTCTCTGGGCTTTAGTTTCCCTCTGCTGTAAAATGAAGGATAAAAAGTATCTGCCTTATAAAAGGGAAACTAGGAGAAAATGAGGGAAAATATATGAGGCACCTAGCATATTAAATCAAAATGGCAAATGTTCAATGTATCAATTCTTCTTCCTCTAGTGAACGTGACACGGATCCCAGTCGAGATTCTAGAATAAGCCAAAAACGCTTGCAGCCTCCTGGAAGACTCAACGTGGCTTCACCGAGAATAAGTAACTTGAGAGAGTCACCTCCTATCTTTCTTACGTAGGTTAACTACACATCTGAGTAGGCAGAAGTTAGGTGTGTCTGGATTATGGAGCTGGGTGACACAACCTCTCCCGTTTTTGCACTCCCCACTCTCACGCTCCGCCCAAGTCCATTTGTGTCTCTGGATTTATGTGGGCAATAAAAGTCCCTGTGGGGAAAAAATTCACTTGGCATTCATGAAACAGGAGATTCTAACTTAAACTTATCTAGTCAGCGTGAATGGGGGGCGGTTGCAGGGAGCAGGTGCACGAGTAAGGAACTGAAACCAAATTACAAGGAATGGCCGTGCGGCTTCTGAGAAATAATTCATCCTACAGGAAGAAACACAATAAGCTAGATTTAACAAGAGAGCCTGGACGGTGGGAGGGAATATCAAGGTCTAGGAGAAGCATGGTGATTATCACTTGAAACTATTTTGATCCAAACCTGGCAGTATGTGGAAGCACTGGAGGAAAGGCTTAAGACAGTCGTACAGGACCTGTTCTGCTCAGGTTAGGTGCCCGGCAAGTGAAGGATGATATGGAGCAAGACATACAGAAAATGAGAAAAGTGGTGGTCAACGTTTTCTGCCTGTGTAACCCTTAAGTGAATTCTGAAAAACAATGTATCCCCTCATGTATTTTTAGGCTGACACCTAAACTTTTTCATCATCAATAGCTGCAAAGAATGTACTGATAATTTGTCTTACTGCACATGATATTTTAAAATAAAATGGTTACATCATGCTTAAATCTATTCAGCAGGATCTAAATAGCACAGAAATTCGATATCCATTATCATTATTTCAAAAAAAATGAACAAATGCTTCTTAAACAATTGAAATTTTTATAGCGTTCCTTTTTCTCCTTGAGCTCCTAATCCCTTTTCACATCTTCCACAATAATTATGCCCTAATGTACTATATCTTGATATATAATTCTCCATATCAGAAATAAACACATATAAATGCATTCTGTTTCCTGTGATAGTATGTCTTAAGTCTTAAAAAATTATTCTGGCTTGATTTATCATCACAATTATTATCAGTAAAAAATTAATCAAAATAATATACAATAACTTTCATTAAAATACTAACATAAAATGAAAGTTTTATTGGAGAGGTCTGAGATGGATGGACTTTTCAAGGACTTCATAAATTCATGGACAATTTACTTACTGCTAGAATGAGAAAGTCCGGCATTAACTTTAAAGACCTTCCAATCATATGCTATAACTTCTATAGTGATCCTATTATGAAAAATTATTGTCAATATGGTTGAAAGTAAAAAAAATGAAAACTACCAGATATGCAAATATATTTGATAGCCCCATGTTCCCCACACTGATACTTAAGATTTTGAACTATAACACTGTTTGGAAACTTGAGGATTTACACTCCAGGCCACTGATCTGGAAACTGTGAGAAGGGTGATTGTGAAAAGGAAGAAAGTAAAAAAGAAACTGCTTGAGAAGCTCTGGTCTCAGGCAGATCAATATTAAGCAACTGGACCTATGAAAGTTCTGGACCTGCAAACCGATTCCCTTAAAACTATCCATGTGCCTTTGGGATCCCTGTGTAAAGTAGGCTGTGTACACCCAGAGGTATGTGCGTCCCACTTTAAAGCCTCCTCAGTTACATCGTCAATATAGTAAAAGCTAACATTTACTACGTCAGCCCTCACTACGTGCCAGTATGCTAAATTCAACTCTTTGCATACAGGCTATCTCATTTGATCCTTACAAGAACTCCTTTCCTGATGAGAAAAACAACTTAAGAAAATAAAGCTCCTTGACCAAAGTTTCACAACTAGAGTAAAAGGCAGCAGGTACATCTAAACACAGGCTGTCAAGCTTAACAGCTAAATTACATTGGTAAGTTCATTTGGGACATACCTAGTTGAGGGGGCCTGCAAGACACTGGTTACTACTGCCAAGCTCAGTGCTATAACCACTGATAGCTCTTCAGTATTTTTAAGTGATTACAAAATGCGCTGTATGTGTGGTTGATAAATATGCAAATAGCATGGAACTGGAAAAAACAAATTAGCATCCCCCAAATCGTGACAAGTTAGAGTGGGAGACTAATTTTAGTAGGATAAAATCTAACATACACAAGTATGTGACAACTGGGTAACAAAACTCATTTCATTCCCATCTACTTATTCCTGTCAAGAAACCAACAGCACCAATAAGAATGGAAACGATGTGGCTGAGCAGCAGCATGAGTGAAAGATCTGAGGATTTCTGCTGACAGGAAGCTCAGTATGTTTCAAGAACACAGTGTGACAAATATCTAACACAAGATCTGGCTGTATTTGGAAAAAGGGAAAGGAGTTATTTATTCTTTGCCTTTTTTCTTTTTGGCCAGCCCACAGTCAATTCTGCATATTACACTGAGAAACTGAAGAGTAACTCTAAAGCTGATCGTTCGAGGAGGAGCTGAAGTCCTTCTGAACTATCATTTTCATTGGGCAAAGACTAGAAGATATGGATAGAAAAGCAGGACAAAAAAAAAATTTCTTCACATAGTAAAGGGCCATTATATTTAAGAGGAATTAGGCTTGTTCTCTATGGTCCAAAGACGCAGGAAGGAAGAGAGATCTGCATCACTTGGAGGAGAAGCTTTCTAAGGATACGGTCAGTTCATTACTACAGATGAAACAGGTGGGCTTCGGAGGTAATGAGCCCGACACCATGGGTGCAGCATACAGTAAACAGATGGGATGTAACGGTGTGTACTGGGGGGTTGTGTGGGGGGCAGAACCCAAACATTAGCTGAGAGGTTGAAACATACAACCTTTAGGGTATCTACCAACCCTGAGAATTTTTTACTAATTTGAATAATTTTCAAAAATAGCTGAGACATAAATTTGTGAACAGTTATCCCTGGAGCTGTTTTCAGAAACACTGGAAAGATCCTCTGGGGCAAAATTACTACACAGGATTTTGAAGGGATTAGGTTTATAAGTCAAAGCCATCAGGATGTTCATAAACTATTACTAATCCACTGATTTTTTTGTTGCTGCAGTTAAAGTTCCTCCACCAAGATCTCCTTACAAGGACTGAATGTCTCTAAGTTGTTTCAGAGAGATACAAAGGTTATGGCCCATCACCTTCAAGTCTTTTCAGTCAGTTTTATAATCTACAAATACATGTGACAGTATCATTTTTAACAGGCCCGACAATTTCAAAACAGAATGATTTAAAACTTTTAAAAAAGTAATCTGTAACTTCAATTGGGACAGTCATATTACTTGAAGGAAGAGCTAGGCTTCCTCCAATGTATTTGCTTACCAGAACACACAGCAGTTTGCAGAGCAGGCATACTTCTCCTTGGGGGACCGATGTTTTTCCTACGGCCCCTCCCTTCTTTATTTCATAGGCCCCAAGTTGGATCTTACCTTGCACTGAAAGTCAGATCCTTCATATTTCATACACCCTGAAGCTAATGTGGTTTCTCCCTGGTCATCTTCTTCAATGATGGCAAAGCAATGCCCATTAGTTCTAAAAGAAAACACACACACAGACACAAAAAACAACTTCACATCAGAAAGTACTAATAAAATCTCAGCTTGAAATGTGAGCAGGTGCCGATGGCTTTTAGTTCTGAATTAGAATTGCATTCACATATAATTTATTGGCAAAACCATATGGGTTTTAAAGCAAATGAAAGTTGTCGTATCTGAACTAAAACCTGAAGGTCCAATAAGAATCTATGTCAAGCAGAAAAGGATTTCTACTTAACAAGCCCCCAAATATAAAATACTATGTAATTTCTCTTTGCTAATCATAGTCATGTGATCACAGAAAGATGATTTGTAAAATTATATAAAGTGAATAATTTTTCTTTTATTTTTTTTGGGGAGTTATTAGATTTATTTTTTTTTTAGAGGTGGTATTGGGGATTGAATGCAGGATATTGTGCATGCTAAGCATGTCCTCTACAACTTGAGCTATACCCTCCCCCTGTAAAGTAAATAATCTTAATGTTTAAAAATATATTTAAAATTAACTTTGTCTCTTCTCACCCATAAGACTTTCAGTATTCCCATACTGCACACAATAATAAATAAACAGACTCAATGACAAAGAAAAGTATATTTGAGAAACTAGACTGAGATCCTGAGAGGCACTTTTTAAAAAATATGATTAAATTTTATTCCATAAAATTGGAATACAGAAAGAAAAAAACTATTCTTTATTGTCATGATACGTTAACAATATGCATACTATCCAAACACAACTAGTTAACATTTCCATCAGTTTCTTCCCAGGCTCTGTGCATGTTGTATATGTTTGTAATTATGTGTTTCTCAATAGTCTAATCAAATTATCTAAATTTCTACAATCTTTATTTTTCTATCAAGTACCTAGTATCTTTCTATGTTCACATTCAATGTATAATCATCTCTGACTACTTTTAATTTTTTAAAATGTATGTTTGTTTATTTATTATTTATTTTTAAACTGAAGTACAGTCAATTTACAATTTGTCCATTTCTGGTGTACAGCACAATGTCCCAGTCATGCATATACATACATATATTCATTTTCACATATTTTTTTTCATTAAAGGTTAGTACGAGATATTGGACATAGTTTCCTGTGCTATACAGAAAAAACTTTTTTTAAAATCCGTTTTTCTAGTGGCTAACATTTGTAAATCTCAAAGTCCCAAATACATCCCCTCCCCGCTACTTCTCCAGTAACCATAAGATTGTTTACTATGCATGCAAGTCTGTTTCTGTTTTGTAGATGAGTTCATAGGGTCTTTTTTTTTAGATTCCACATATGAGTGATATATGGTATTTGTCTTTCTCTTTCTGGCTTAATTCACTTAGAATGACAATCTCTAGGGCCATCCATGTTGCTGCAAATGGCATTATTTTATTCTTTGTTATGGTATTCCATTGTATAATTATACCACAGCTTCTTTATCCAGTCATTGATAGATACAACCAACTCTGTTTCCCTGATTGCTGCTATTTCAGGACAAGCCCAGCCAATCACAAGTAACAACTTCGGCCTTTTGCCTCTAAAACCCTCCAGGGACCTGAGTGAGAACTACTGGCAGGACAGTTCATCCAACAGGCCCCTCTCTTTTCAGACACACTCCTTTAAAAAAAAAACCCCACCAATCAGCATTTACCCTTCAGCTTCCCTCATCTGCATAAGAATCCATCAATCAGCTCCTACTCCCAGGCATAAAATAACCAAGTCTCTACTGAGAGAGTGGCCTCCAGTCTGACTGGAGACACCCTCTGCAGATTTCTCGAAAGAAACCTGACTGATGTTGAGCTGTCTCTCTGATCCTTCCTTCTCTCTGATTCTAAGTCATCTGTTGATGGACATTCAGGTTGTTTCCATATCTTGGCTATTGTATATAGTGCTGCTATGAACATTGGGGTGTGTATCTTTTCAATTTAAAGTTCCCTCAGGATATACACCCAGAAGTGGAATAGCTGATCACATGGTAGGTCTATTTTCAGTTTTTTGAGGAATCTCCATACTGTTCTCCATAATGGCTGCACCAAGCTACATTCCTACCAGCAGTAGGAGGGTTCCCTTTTCTCCACACCCTCTCCAGCATTTATTTATTCATAGACTTTTGAATGATGGCCATTCCAACTGGTGTGAGTTGATCTCATTGTAGTTTTGATTTGCATTTCTCTGATAATTAGTGATATTGAGCATTTTTTCATGTGCCTATGGGCCATCCATATATCTTCACTGGAGAATTGCTTGTTTAGGTCTTCAGCCCATTTTTTGACTGAATTGTTTGTTTTTCTGTTATTAAGATGTATGAGCTGTTTATATATTCTGGAAATTAAGCCTCTGTCTGACTACTTTTTAAATGTTGGTATTTCCAAAGATTCTGTTTTTGACTCTCTTTATGTCTCTGCTTTCTATAATCTCCCACATCTCTCTCAATTCTTTTATCAGAAGAGCCAACACCTAAACACTTACAAGTCACAAATTTATATTTTTTGCTTCAGACTCACAAATATAACTATTAACCATTCAAGTGTTCATTAATGAATGAATTAATTCACTGATAATGAGTTTAATCTATTAAGATCTTAGTATGTGTTGGGTGGTGTTCTGAGTACTAGGAATTTAATCTGGAAAATGGTGGTTGGATGCAATGGAAGATGGTGAGAACTAAAGCAGAGAACCATGAAAAGTCTACATTTTAAAGATTCTAAAATGATAAACGTAGGCCTTAGGACATTTATTCCCAATCTACATTAGGTACCCCTATTAACATAGCTTTGTGGCACTCTTGCTTGTAACACTCATCAGAGGTGTAGTTAATCTGTTATTGGAATGATTATTTTGTTTGGTATCTGTATTAGTTTCCAAGTGCAGTTGTGACAAATTACCATACACTTAGGCTTAAAACAACTCAGAATTCCTATCTTATAGTTCTGTAGATCAGAAGTCCAATGTGAACCTCACTGAACTAAGATCAAGCTGTTGACAGGGTGCCTTCCTTTTCTACCTGCATTTCCTTGCCCTTTCCTCTTCTAGAGCTGCCTGCTTTCCTTGGCCCATGGTTTCTTTCCTCAATCTTCAAAGCCACAACACAGGCCAAGTCCTTCTCACACTGGTACTTTTTATTGAATATGATAGGGGAGAGGTACTTTTTATTGAATATGATA